CTGTAAAGCCCAGTCATTCCACCTCGGTTCCACATTTCGTGAATTTTACGCTCCATTCACCAAACACCATCCGCTTCATATACATATAGACATTTGACGTTCCAATCTGTATATTTACACATCAATCCTACCGTTTGACTTTGTTTGTTTATCTGCTTCAATTTTTATGCTACTTGTTTTAATGGCGACTTGAGCGCTCACATTTGGCTCGTTCATGTGCAGAGTGACGGTGAGCGTGCTATTCTACTCATCTATTTACCATTCAGAATGTTGAATTACGCTCACAGTAACACTTGGCTCTTGTTTTCAAGTTGTTTCGAGATCACTTTTGTGCAGCGTGACGGTGAGCGCGCTTTTCTTACCCAGGCTCATTTACTTCCATTCAGATTTGTTAGTGCAGTGTGACGGTGAGCGTGCTATTCTTACCCAGGCTCATTTTCTTCCATTCAGATTTGTTGCCTCACAGTAACACTTGGCTCTTGTTTTCAAGTTGTTTCGAGATCACTTTGAGGTTTGTAGTGTTTTCAGCGTGCTTTTCTTACCCAGGCTCATTTTCTTCCATTCAGATTTGTTGAATTACGCTCACAGGAACACTTGGCTCTTGTTTTCAAGTTGTTTCGAGATCACTTTGAGGTTTGTGCAGTTTTTAATTGCTTATTTTGCTCTTGTTTTCAAGTTGTTTTGAGATCACTTTGAGGTTTGTACAGTTTTTATTTGCTTAATCGATTTGTTTTCAAGTTGTTTCGAGATCACTTTGAGGTTTGTACAGTTTTTATTTGCTTATTTGAGCAGGCTCATTTTCTTCCATTCAGATTTGTTGAATTACGCTCACAGTAACACTTGGCTCTTCTATTTACCATTCAGAATGTTGAATTACGCTCACAGTAACACTTGGCTCTTGTTTTCAAGTTGTTTCGAGATCACTTTTGTGCAGCGTGACGGTGAGCGCGCTTTTCTTACCCAGGCTCATTTACTTCCATTCAGATTTGTTAGTGCAGTGTGACGGTGAGCGTGCTATTCTTACCCAGGCTCATTTTCTTCCATTCAGATTTGTTGCTTACGCTCACAGTAACACTTGGCTCTTGTTTTCCAGTTGTTTCGAGATCACTTTGAGGTTTGTACAGATTTTATTTGCTTATTTAATCGCTTATTAATGCAGTACCGTAGAAATTTGCCGGATCGTTCGTTTTGTTGACGCCTCTGGATCCAATTTCGGTTACTCGTTGCTCGTTGATCTATTGGGGGGTTACAGTCAGTTCGTCCTGCCTTGATACACTACACATGTCCCCGTCGTCATTGGGCGCTGTCCTCAGCGCCAGTGGAGCAGCGGACTTGAGGCGGTTGGCCTGGGCGACACTCGACCAGGTGGGTCGTTTGAAACGGTGATCCGATAGGTGACATCAGACAGGGCTTAGTCAACGGTGAACGGGCCTTTCCATGGTCGGTGGAATTTCGCAGGCATGCCCGCCGGGGCACCGGTTCCAGGAGCCACACACGGTAGCCCGGTTGGAAGGTTGAGGCATGAGCTCGGCGGTTATAGTATGATTTATGGTATCTTTGCGCCGCCTGGAGATGTTGGCGGGCCAGGGCGTGGGTGCGTTGGAGACCGGTTAAGAGTTGGCGGACATGTGAGGTGGAGCACAATGGCTCAGTAGGTCCAGCTGGGAGGCGGGCGTCGGATGGCAGGCGTATTTCCTTTCCAGTCACCATGCAGTACGGGTTTGGGCCAGTGGCGACGTGAACCGTGGCGCGGTAGGCCAGGAGACAGCGCTGGAGGGCGGTATCCCATTGGTCGATTGTTTTGTGATTTACGAAGGTGCGCAGCAGTCCTTTAAGGGTGCGGTTAGTGTGTTCTATAAGGCCGTTACCCTCGGGATGATAGGCTGTTGTGCGCGTCTTCTTGATGTTCAGAATATGACAAAGCTCACGAATGAGCAGGCTATTTAAGTTGGAGCCTTGGTCATAATGTAGTTGGTAGGAGACACCCCATCTAGAAAACCATTCGATGAAAATCGCTTTTGCCACCGTCCAGGCGTTCGTTCTGTGCAGCGGTACCGCCCCGCACCATTTCGTGAAATGGTCGACCATTATCAAGATGTAGCGGTTGCCACGTTTTGTTAACGGCAATGGGCCCATGATGTCGACAGCCAAAATCTCGTTGGTGAAACCCGCATTGAGGTTTTGGAGGGGTGCATGGGGAACAGGTACTCAGTTCTTGAGTTGATTACACAAAGTGTAAGACTCGCAGGATAGACGTATGTCGCGCCGCATGTGTGCCCACCAGAAATTTCGGCGGGAAGCCTCCTACATTTTTTCCCCGGCATGACCGAGTTCCTCGTGTAGGCGACTTAGTACAGCATCCTTGGCTGCTGGAGGAACCACGATTCGCCGCGTGTAGTCTGGGCCGTCTTGATAGTACAGGACACCGTCGACAATTCGAAGCTGCGGCCAAAGGGCCCATAGACATTTTGTGAAATAGCTGGCACCCTGCATATCGTCGTTAGATGGGCGTGGTAATTACAGAGATAGAGATCGGTAGATGGGTTGTAGTTCCGAGTCGGTCTCCTGGAGGGCTTTCCATTCCGCGATCACGGGTTGGTGGAGGGGTATGGTGATTGCGGCTGTAGCGCAAGTGAGGCAGTCACCGTGAGCGCGGAGAGGTCCGCGGGATAAAGCATCTGCATTGCCATGTTTGTTACCGGGACGGTGTTTGCTTACAAAATCATACTCCTGGATACGTTCTTGCCACCGGGAGATTTGTCTTTGAGGGTCACGAAAATTCTGGATCCATAGGAGGGATTTGTGGTCTGTTCGGATGATAACCAGTCGACCCAGTAGGTACGGACGAAAGTGCTTGAGAAATTGAACGACTGCAAACATTTCCTTCCGTGTCGTGCAATAATTTTGTTCCCGCGGCGTCAAAACCTTGCAGGCGTACGCAATGACATGTTCGGATCCATCTGGGCCCCGTTTGCGACAGGACGGCGCCGATAGAGTGATCGCTCGCGTCGGTATCTAGTATAAAGATACCAGCATTCGCGGATGTCAGGGTAAAACAGGATAGGGGTATCACACAGGCGGTTGAGGAGGTCGGCAAAGGCCTAGGCCTCGCGCTCAGTTCAATGGAAGGGGGTGTTTCGACGAAACAGATTTTTGAGTGGCGATGCGGGGTGTACAAAGCCTGCGATAAAGCGACGGTAGTATGAGGCAAGCCCCAGAAAACAACGCACGTCCTCGACTGATATGGGCGTGGGTCACGTGCGAATCTGGTCAACTTTTGCGGGGTCACAACGAACGCCTTGGGCTGAAATAATATGCCCAAGGAACGGTACCTCTTGTCGAACGAAGTGACATTTAGAGAGTTTCAGCTTGGGTCCAGCGTCGCGGAAGGGTTGGAAGACAAGACGGAGATTGGCTCTGTGTTCCTCCGCGGTTTTACCATGTACCATAATATCGTCAAGGTAAACGAAACAATAATAACAATGGGGGATAAGTCCTTCGAGAGCGGTTTGCATCAATCGTTCAAATGTGGCAGGGGCGTTTGTTAGACCGAAGGGCATCGTTTGGAATTAGTATAGCCCCGATGGGAGAACGAACGCCGTTTACAGCGACCGGTTGGGTGTACCCCGACTTACCAGTATCCGGATGCAAGGTCTAGGGTGCTGAAGGATTTGGCGCCGCCTAAAGCATCCAACGTTTGGTCTATCCGCGGAAGTGGAAAAGAATCTTTGCGCGTAATGGCGTTGAGTCTGCGGTAGTCGAAACAAAAGCGGATAGATCCATCGCGCTTCTTCACGAAAACCACAGGCGATGCCAAAAAGGAGATGGAGGATCGGATTATATCCCGTTCCAGGATCTCTTCAATCAGCTT